AAAAATATATTTATATTTTGATCCCGTTGTAATTCGCTTGAGCAAGGATTATTATGCTTTGAAATATTTATTGTAATTATTTATATGTAGTGGTGGTCAAACTCATTTATAATTATCATTATAACTCAAAAAGTTAATTGGAATAACCTGAGTATTGCTACCACTTTAAATATGAAAATAAAATCTTCTGAAAAATCCTGAAGAGTTGGCATGTATGCTTTTCAACCAATTTTGACCCTATGCATTATACATAAATAATATAATTGCTATATAAACCAAATATTTTATATGTATTACTCAGCCAAAACAGCCCCATATTGAATTGTCTATTTCACCTGACATTTTACAGCCACTTGAAGTCCTCCATGACGACAAATTTCTCTTAATGCTAGATCCAGGAGTTCCTTTATCTTCTGGATTGGGTTTAAAATTACAAGATTACCAATGTTGTTGAACATCAATAGTCGTAAACCCAAAATTGGGTCGGCTGTTAAACGACGGTTATAAAATAAAATACATCTGACCTGACAACACTTTTCTGAAGTAACATGATAATTTTCATTGCATTCGATTTAGCGAAAAAAAAACTCCTGAAAACAAAATTTTGAAATTTCTAGCTAATAGAAAATCTTCGAAAACAAAAGAAAATTTGGCATGAAAAACGTAAACGATTTTGGACATTCTTTGATTAAAATAGTAACACGAGTGAATCCTACTATGTTTACAATGCTGCCAATTTTCTATTGACAAATTTCTTTTAGTGATGGAANCAAAAAAATAATAATAACAGAAACTGAGACTATGAAGCAAATTTAATATTATATATAGGTGAGACAATAACAGTTATACAAAATTTACATTAGTAGTATTAAATATCAATATGTATGGTGTCTCAAGATTATTGGGATAAACTTTAAGGGGAAGTAGAGGGCAAGAAGAATCACAAGAATTCATATTTGCACGGCATGTCACAGTTTGGAAAGTCTTCGTTCACCGCTAGGTGGTGCTGTATAGAAGAGCATTGGAGAAAACAGACCTTAATGGGACACCTGCAAGTGACGTAGTGTGGGTATCTCGGTCGACATTGGTTGTTAAAACGTTAGCAAATATCCTTTCTATTCTGTTTCGAATAAGCCAAGCCCATCAAGTATCAATTCTCTTAAGTGGCATAATCTATATTCTTTCACCATTTATCTCTTATTCAACACCAAGACAGACACGAAGCTATGTAGAATATAAACAAACTAATTGTGCATCGAAGTTATTTTGCTTATAACTATCAGCTGGGGACTGGCGTCATAGGTTAATGTGAGTATCCAAGTTTTGCTTCTTCGTCAAGTGCATGTACCCAATTGTCGCAGTCATTTGAGCTGCCATCAATCTATCAAGCTGATGGAAACTCTTTCGGCTGCTTATGCATTTCCCTCTATCGATCCGCGCTTCATGTGCATATCTGCCAACTATGTCTTCATAAAATAGTGCTAACTCCTCTACAGGAGACTGCTGCTATGCAAGTTTCTTCCCTCCAGTGTTCTTGTGAACAACAACACCTAGCGGTCGTTTTCGACCATGGGTTTCTAGACACATCTTAATCATCATGATGTGTCCTACCGCCCCTTAAAATTTGCTCCAATAATCCTGAGACACCCTGCAGAGTAAAGAACATATTTACAATTGCCATATATACAGTAAAAATTATGAAGTAAATCTTGCCAAGACATTTGAAGATATTGACCGGGCGAGAGATTACAAAACAAACGTGCAGCGTTTATTCTTCAACCCTCACCTACCTCCCCATAGAAATCGATTGTAGCATCTTTCTTTTGGAATTGGAAAAAGATGGCAGTGTTTCTCCCGAAAGAGATAAAATAACGAGAATTTATTCTCGATTTCAGAACTTTGAAATCCAAAATGAAATATTATTACCAAGGATAAAATATGTTAAAAAACATTTCGATTGTTTGAGTTTACCCCACTTTGTAGTATATTTTATATTATTATAGTTATTCAATTTTCACTAATAATTTTTGGGCTTGAAAGTGACAATGAATTTCATATAAATTAGAAAAAAATGTCATTGTAAGTAATACCGGACAAAGGTACTTTTATCTTAAAAACAATATCAGTGATAGTTATACGATTCATTTTCTGACTTCTTAAACCTGCAAAAGAAAAGGAAGCAGCTGGACTAGTATTAGACAATTTTTTTAAAATTTTTTAATTCTGCTCCTAATTTGACAATGAGGATCTAGTTGGAGGGAAAACTATGTGAGTAAAAACAAATACATTTCGTTTACTTGTTTTCAAAAAGAGTATTTTATGTTTGTTTGTTTTTTCGAGTCAGAGTTATGAGAGTGAGTTCAAATACCGTCTGAGCGCATTATCATTTTATTAGCTGAAAACTCTGGTCAAACTGCTAATTGTGAGCGTTTAGTTCTTCTTGATGCTCACCAGAGAGTTTTACAGATTATTTGGTCAAGGCTCTTGGCCTGTCGGAGGATCTATTTTTCTTCCAGTTTTCTTTGCAAGTACCCGTCACGCATGCAGGAAAGTCTAGTTAAAGTACCGGAAGAATGTTGTTGAGCCACTATATGTTGAGCCACCTCATGTGACATTTGCCATGTGACATTTTCAGCAGCAATCATTGGTCGNAGTTTTCTTTGCAAGTACCCGTCACGCATGCAGGAAAGTCTAGTTAAAGTACCGGAAGAATGGAAAACCGGCTTTCGATTGGAATGATTCAACTTGGATTAATGCCAACGGAGTATAATCTGGTCTCGAGAACTTGAATAGAGGAGAGGATTTGATTCCCACCAAGGATTCAGCATTGGAGGTTCAGGAGATAGTACGCTTGCCATGCAATGAGGTGAAGCGAACTAGCTTTGAGTCCCGGCAATAACTAGTTGATTCGAATTCCGCACTCGACTCGCCCCAATCACAGTGCTGACGTAAAATATTGTCATTGGTAGACGTCTCATGGGATAGAGTGCCCATTGCCGTCAGGCTAACCGTTGGAGTTTTTCATAACTTTTATCTCCATGTAATGCAAATGCGTGTTAGTTCCACCGAAAAGTCCTCCACGAGGACAAATTTCGCCAACTACTTAATCTAGGAGCTCCCTTGTCTTCTGGATAGGGTTCAAAATTACGAAGATACACATTGGTAACCGTAAACTGAAAATTTTGTAGGCTGTTTAATGACGTTTTTAAAATATAAAATAAAATACTAACAGAGATTTAATATTACGGTAGTCTGAAGATATTTAGAATCTGGCCAGAACATTTTCTGGTTAAATGTTTACCTATTGTTCTACAAGAGCTGAGTATTGTTGAAGTTAATAATTTTTTTGTGTGGGTTTAATAGACTTTTTGTCTTATTTCAACCATACAACCGAGAATAAATGTGTTATTACTATCTCTTCGTAAATTTATTAGTTACTTTGAATATGCAGGTGCTAAGTCCTAATTCTCGACACAATATTTCTCCCCCCCCCTTCCAAAAAAAAGGGGAATCCCCGCTCAAAATTCAGTTATTTATATTAACCCTTTCTAAAGCCGTGGTAAGTATACTTGTCAAGTCCATGTTAACTTTTCTACCACTTTTAATTTAGGTTTCATTTGTTAATAAGTTCAGCTTCCTTGAAGTAGGTTAGCGTAAAATTGGCAACCATTTTTTAGTATAAGAAAACGTATAAAAGCTATAAAATGCATAATTCCTTCAGAAGTTTGTAGCATTTATAAAATTTATTTTATAAATAAAGAAAAATAAAAGTCAATATGTTCCTAGGGTAAACCACCCAGTGAAGGAACATTTCATATATATTGATTAAAAATAAGAATTTGAAAGTTTTTCTTTAGATTGATTGGTAACAATAGCTTACTGCCAAACAATAGGAAGTCATCTATCAATATTCTGGATTACCTGGTCAAATAGACTTCTCTGGAAAAATTTTTGAATTTATTATCTCTGCAACACCTTATTTCTTTGAAAAAATTATAAGGGAGTTTTTGTATTTATATGTTTGAAGTGGAATTAATTGCATGTAATAGTATTATTTTTCTCACTGTGAAAAAGAGAATTCAAAATATAGTTATTGAAGTTACGTTTTATTTTTTTTAAAGCACCATAGCATAATCAAGTACTGAGATAAGGGGGTGTTTATTCACTGGATCACCAAACGATGAAAAACCAGTGAAGGAACAAGTGTTCCTTTACTGGGTTTTTTTCTAAGTTAATGAAAATAAAAGATAAACTTTAATTTTCTTGTACCTTTAGTGATGTTCCGCATCAAAAGTATGTTAAAAATACGAAAAACAACTTCTAACCAGTGAGGGAACAGGCATGTTCCTTTACTGGGCATAGATTTCCCAGTGAATGAACAGTATGTGTTAATATGTTGACACTTTAATTTTCAATTCATGATTACAAAAAAAAGTTAACATTTTCCAAGTATTTATATGTTATAATTTCAAGAATAGGCTTGTTTTTAAATATTTGTATGGCTTATAAATTCATAAAGAGCATTAAAAAATAACCAAAATTAAGTGTTCCTTTACTGGGTGTTCATTCACTGGTAAGAGCTGTTCCTTCACTTGGTCTTCTTACTACTTGTTATTTGAACCTCCTAGACTAAACAATATTATGTAAGTTCTCTACAATTTTCTTACATAATTTGCCATTAGTAACAAATATGTTGACACTGTCATTTATCTAAAATTACGAATTTTGAAATTAATATAATTTTTTAAAAGGCAAGCGAAGCTTAAGTGTTCCTTAGTTTACCCTTATAGGTCGTGGTGAATATATACTTACCACCCAAAAAAATGGCATTAAAATTTAAATTTTTTTTTTATAAGTTAAATGAGTTTTTCTTTTCTTATATCAATTAATATTCTTATATGAATTTTAATTCAGAAAATTATTTACCTTTACAAGAAAGAAATAGCCCACTAAAGGGTTAATTGGGTAACTGTAGACGAGTGTGTGGATGATGCGTTGAATAAAAAAGGGAATATTTATTAATCTGTGATTCGAAGGTGATGTTTTAACAGCAAACTGTTCTTTAGCATTGTTCCGAGAGAAGGTCCTAATTCGTTTACAGTACCCGCTAGTTATCAACAGAATATCAAGGTGCGTTTCATAGTTTGCATTGAAATCGTGATGTTTATCGCCGAAAATATTTATCACCGCATTCCTGCGCCATTAGAAAATTTGGCTTATCATTAGATTACCACATTTCCTACACATGTTTCAAAATATGCAATGATTGCATATCATCCTTTAAAATCATAGATGGGTTTTCACAATTACAACGTGCTTCTTCGCCTTGCACTTTGCTTCATCTGTGGTAGTATTCCATTGTTGCAAATCTGCAGATCCAAATAGCGCAAACATTGCTCCACAGAAAACATAGACTCCGACTGCTGAGTAAAACACATTATTCCAATTTGAAAGAGTTGACTGGAAAAAAAAGAAAATAATTTATAGTCAGAATATTAATTCGAGAATCGCAATATCAATTCTATTAAAAATAGAATCGCAATATAAATTCTATCTAAATAAATTGGTTAGTAATTTCCTAGATCTTCCTTGACCCTATACTTTTCGATGTATATTTTAAAATAGATAATTGTTAAATAAAAGTAGTGTATTTTATACATCATATGATTTAATACAGTCGAACCTCGCTAACTCGAACCTCGATTTCACGAATTTTTCGATATCTCGAAGAAAAAAAAATTCCTTTCAAATTTCCTATACACTTAATGTTAAAAAAAACTTGATTTCACGATTTTTTTTTTTCAAATCCCTCGATAACTTGAATTTTTTTCTCCATAAACAGTGTAGATTTTTCTTCTGAAAATAAAAAACTATTCCAAACAAAAAAAATTTAAGAATAGAAAACCAATTCTCATAATGATAAACGTTTTTTTAAAAAATGGACATAAAGACGTCAGTGCCATGGAATGATGTGTCTTTCTCTACGATAATGAATGGCTTCACGAAGGCTGGATTCATTAAAGATTAGAAGATGAAAGTAGTCAAACAATCAATATCGTTAATTCTGCTGAAAACTACACCGAAAAAGATTGGGACAGATTGACCGGACTCGTGAAACTTGATGTCATGGAATTTCATGACTTTGTAAACGTAGATGATGCAGTAACAGTGTGTGTTCAGTGGAATGACAATGATATCATCGCTCAAACGAACGCTTCTTGTGAACTATCAGAAGAAGAGGATGACCCAATGTTACTCACAAACAAGCACTTTCAGCAGTGGACACTGTAAGGAGATTTATTGAGAGGCAGCCAAATGAGTCAGAGGAGACATTTAAAGCTATAGTCCACTTAGAAAGTGTTAAAGACAAACTTCCTTACACATCTCTAAAGCAAACAACAATTGAATCTTTTTTTAAAATGAAAGTGTAAAAAGTGTTTTTAGAATAAATATGGAATAGTAAATAAGGTATGTTAAGTGCATTTTTCTTTATTCTACCATCGATAACATACGATTTTCGATAATTCAAATTTTCAGTATCTCGAATTATTTCTCCTCTCCCTTCAAGTTTGAGATGTCGAGGTTTGACTGTATTTAAATCAGTTTAAATAATTTTTTAAAGTCGGGGTTCAAAGGGCTAACCGAGTGGATTATATCCAGTTACATATTTATTTTTTATGTCAGTCACTGAACTCTGGTTCTTTACCTTGGCAGATGTCAGAAGTGTTGTTCATTTACCATTACCCGGTGGGCGCCTGTGAACCTAAGTCACGGAGAAGAGCAACATTCATAGGATGAGCCACATTCACACAGCAGAAAACAACACACAGAGACGAACATCGATGCCCTGAGCAAAATTCAAGTCCGCAACCATTGGCTTCACAGTCAGACACGCTGAACTCTCGGCCTAACTGACCGGTGCTAATTACAAGCTTCGTAGAAGGAGCCTCTATGAATGTGGGAAGGCCCAGATTTTGCTCGCTGCATCGGGTAAAGTATAGTTCGTTCACCGGGAGTTGGCACTTGACTCCACCTCCTCGGACGCAGAGTTCATTTCAGCGCGGGGTAGTAAGGGGAAAAACATTTCCCCGCTTGAAATCGAGATAACCTCTGAAGCGCGCAAAGCCTCCACACGGTTTTTTTATAGGCAGTCCAATCAGACCACTATGAAGGCAAACCAGTTTACAAAAGAGCCCTTTAATAAAAAATCTAGTAAAAATTAAAAAGTGGTAGTAAATATATGTCTAAAAATTTGTTTAATTTTTGAATATGATTAGTTTGTCTACCACCACAGATTCAATTCTCAAATATGTATGACAAATTCCTCTCAGCCACTTTTAAAATAGAATTTGATTTCATGTGCTCAAACTGTTCACTTTTTAAATAGTCTGCGCTGACTACTTATAAGAAACCGTGTGGAGGTTTTCTAATGTAGAAAGTGATGGCCAAACACGAACAGTATATTCTTTTTCAGTCACTTACTTCGCTTTATCATCAGCCATTATACCTTTCGTTATTCTTGCTAATTTATATTTAAAAACTTCTTCCCAGCAAAATATCTCAAGAAGAACAAATTATTCAATAAAGAGAGAGAAATATCAACAAGTTTATGAAATAAAATGCACATGTTCAAAATATGCACATGAAGATTGCGAAATAAATAATTTTGTCATACGATCGCCAAATAGCAGCCTTGTTCACATCCTTCTCCCAAAAATAGCGAAATAGTATCATCCGATAGCATGTGATGAAGGCGGAGCCAAGTGCCAACTCCTGGTGAACGAACTATATATACAATTCACAAAAAATTGTATGATTAAAAGTTTGTCCTGACTAAACATTTGGGACTATGTTTTCAGGATGACGTTATCAGTCAAAAAACTGAATCCGTCCAGAAAAAGGTACGTTTGTTAAAAAAAATTTACTTTTGTGACCAATTTCTTCATTTAAAATGATGTTTGCACTAAATAAATATCACATTTGTAGTCAAATTCTTGCACCTGTAAGTTATTTATAGTGTTCATTTTTCAAACGCGTCGCTCAATCTTATGTATTTTAACATCATAGCTAAATATCGTAGCTTCAAAAATTGTAGCTTGTACAGAGAAATCAATGGAATACTTGTACTTCAAGATGAAGAAGGCCAGAAATACCCAAACATGTGACATATGACGTCAGCTGATTGAATCCAAGCAAAACTGTTAGAATGTTAATTAACGTAAAATTAATTAAATACAGTGACGTATCACACTTCGAATTTGTTGAAAAATAACTCTTTCTCTTCTATGTCTTTCATTTAACTAATTCTTATTTTTTGTTCACGTATTTTATTGGTGCCGTGATATATTCTTGTTTAGTGTACCTGCCTGCTTAGATGTATAATTAGTTTGTTTATGCTCTACATGATTTCATGCCTGTCTTTGTAAAAAGTCTTTGTATAATAATATAGAATGTGTCATCTAAGAGAATTGATGCTGGGCGGGCTTGGCTTACTCTAAATAGAATGGAAGGAACAGTTACTAACGCAAAGAATTATCACGTTTTAACGAGATACCCACTACGTCACTTGCAGGTATCCCAGTCATACATATCTGAAATTAGCAAAGAGAAAATATCTATAAACAGTTAGGAAATCCCAAGTATCATAAAAATAAAAATGTCCTTCAGTGATGTCGATTCTAAATAATAACTTCTCAACTTCTGACAATTTTATCTAATTATAGTGTCTCAAATATGAATTTAGGATATGGAAATGCTACTTACACCATTTTTTGTGAAAATACCCACAACCATGGGTCCTAGGAAACCAGCAGAATTCGCTATTGTATTGGTTATGGCATATAATGTTCCTAAAATGAATTTTAGTTTGAGTACATTTTGATGAATAACGTATTTCTAATTCCATACCTGCCAACTTTTAATCCCTTACATTATCATTTTTCCCAAAGGTACTAAAATGAAATTAAAACTTCAATTTTAAGTCAACAAATTCGTTGTATTTGAGAAAACTTAAGTTGACAACCATGATTGTAACGCATATTAATATATGTGCTTAGTTTTTGTAAGAATAGTGGTGATCAATATCATTTAAAAATTATGTTTATAAAAGAAAAAAATGGTATATATTTACTACCACTTTAAATATGAAAATAAAATCTTCCGGAAAATCCGGAAGAGTTAGCAGGTATGTAATTCATATTTTTGCTGAAATATTTCACAATGGGTCACAATCGCGTGTATACAGGCTAAGAACGTCGTTTGCAAACACAGGTTATCGCATTGCCAATTTGCTCCGCTTTGTAAAAACATATTTCCTAGTGGTATCGAAATTTAAGTTATTAGTATAGCTAAAATTCAAACTGGCATATCAAATGCAACTTCATTGCAGTTATATCGTGGTAGCACTTAGAAAACGAAGGCGCAATTTTTCTTAATCTACAAGTTTTGCTATTTAATTTACTACCAATTTATTAAAATTTTTGTAGAAAGCTGAGGAAATGGCATGACTGAGGATGCCTGCTCAATACGACGCTCATAACGAAAAGGTTAAGAATAATTTACTCCAGTAAATAGTTTAAATGCATATTTTATAGAAGTAGTTAGTGTAAATTCCGATTATTAAAAATCCAATGCATGCTGTTAATGCAAACATTTTATTCTTCAAATTTGCCTCGGATATACAAGATATTTACGTTCATCAAATACATTTTAGTAATATTAACAACTATAACTTAATGTGGAATAGTATATAACAACTGCAGGGATGTCAACTGCTCCGCTTTGTACAAAAGTTTTAATAAATACATGGCAAATTAAATGCGCGGCTGATAATTACGACTACTCATTATTATTTTGACTACAGGATAAAATTGCATTTCATATGGTGTTTCTCAGTGATGCCAACTTGATCCGTTTTTTAAAAAAACATATATTTTAGTGGTACAAAATTTAAGTTATTTTAGTTTAATATATTTCAAAATCAGTAATTTTTCTACCACTTCGTATCAAAAATTCAAATTATTAGATAAAATGCAACTTGCTAACACCTGCTTTCATTTATATATCTCACGCTTGCGTTAACATCTAACCCCTTTTCCTCCCTTATGGTAAAAAATTTTTCGATGGAGGTATAGATAGTCCTTCGGGCTAGGGACACTAAATAAATTAGCTTAAATCGGTTGCACATGCCAATATCTAATGCTCTCATAGATAAATTTTCCAAGTCGTAGTAAAATGGAATTTAAATTATAATTCAGGTATAATCATAAGATGTATCTTGAAAAAGCTTTAAAACCTAGAGCTACTTACATCAGTTTGTTATCTGAGTGTACAGCCCACTTAAGGGCTTTAACATAATCATTTAATTCGAGTGAAAAAACCAAACACTAATGGTATCACATATTATATATATGCTTATTTTTTTTAAAAATAGGGGTGGACAAAATCATTATAAATGTAAGGAATATGTAGAAAGCATACATTTTACTACCACTTTAAATATTATAATAAAATTTTACGCCAAATTCGTAAAAGTTAGCTAGTAAATGTTTCAAAATTTATTTGTATTGAGGGAAAAATTTTCTTAAATGAAGAATACGTAACTAAAAAGAATTGAAATTATCCACTATCACTTTTTTTTTTCTTCAATTGGCAAGCATTGAACTTCGTTCTTCGCCTTAGAAGATGATTGTGATTATCCAATATAACTGAAAAATATATTTTTGCAAAGCGGAGCTAGTTGGGTTTTTTTTGTAAATGTGGAGCTTGACCAACGCCTCCTGCAACAGAAAGCCTCCACACGGTTTTTTATAGGCAGTCCGATCAGACCACTATGAAGGTAAACCAGTTTACGAAAAAGCCCTTTAATAGAAAATCTTGTAAAAATAAGAAAGTGGTAGCAAATATATGTCTAAAAATTTGTTTAATTTAAGAATGCGATTGATTTGTCTTATTTACTTGTATACCACTTCAATTCTCAAATATATGTGATAAATTTCTCTCAAGTACTTTTAAAATAGAATTTGAGTTCCTGCGCACGACCGGTTAACTTTTTAAACAGTCTGCGCGGACTACTTATGAAAAACCGTGTGGAGGCTTGACACTAGGAGCTTCCTTTAAACAAAATACCAGCTGCCGTTTTCTTTTTATATAAATCGTGCCTCCCATCACTTCAAAGTGCTGCGTATTTCTTAAACTAGGCTGTCAACTACGCTTTTTGAAAAGTATTTTATAGAGTGGCAAACAATTGAGAACTAAGCTTTCCAAATTATTTAGTAATTTTATTAAAATGTCGTTGACTTATCACTAAAAGGAGATATCTAGCCACTTTTTATATAAACTTTTTAATCATTTATATGCTTAGCCATCACAAGAAGACATTTTCAGTTAATAATAATTACATTAAATACATACCTGCCAACTTTTTATCCTGTATAGGACGTTTTTCCCCAGTGGTAGTAAAATGGAATTTAAATTGCAATTTTAGGCAGCTACACATGTTTTATTTTGCAAAATCTTAAACGGAGCACATTGCATACCTGCCAACTTTTAATCCCTTCCATTATCATTTTTCCCAGTGGTATTAAAATGGAATTAAAACTTCAATTTTAACCAAACAAATACGCTGTATATGAGCAAACTTAAGTTAACAACCATGATAGTAACGCATATTAATATACGTGCTTAATTTTTGTAAGAATAGTGGTGATCAAAATCATCTAAAAATTAAGTTTATAAAAGGAAAAATAGTATATACTTACTACCACTTTAAATATGAAAATAAAATTTTTTGGAAAATTCGGAAGAGTTGGCATGTTTGACATTGAATGTAATAAATATATACTTAATTTTTTAAAAAATAGTGGTAGTTAAATAAGGTTACAAATTAAGTTTATAAATGCAAGGGATGTATAGAAAGCATACATTTTACTATCACTTTAAAATAGAATATTGCGCGAATTGCGTTAAAGTTGGCAGGTATGTAATTAAACCTTATTTTACTCCCCTCACGAAAATTAACTATAAAGAAAAAAAGGTTTTGTTGCCAGATTTTCTCCTTTTCCCTTTTACTTTCAACATGTCCGAAATCAGTTGCTCTTAAATGAATCGGATATCGAGGGGTATTATTTCCTGCCTCAACCTCGAGTCATTTAAAAGACGAGTAAACTCAATAATGTTTATATTTTTCTAAATTAATTATGTTTTTTTTTTTATTATAACAGGCAACCCTTCAAAATAGTGCACTTGGCGAAAAAATTAAACAAATGAAACTGAGACCAGTCCATCCAACTGAATTTGTCTCCTTTTCTCTTTCAGATAACTGAAAATAATTTTTTCAGTTAATTACGTTTAAAATTTATTATTAAACGGTTGTAAGGATATTCAACTTACCAGCAAGTTCAGGACACATGTCAACATGCGTTACATTATATCCAGCATAACAACAGCCATTTACTGCCATTGCTATACATAATAAAGTGACGATAAGTTCAGGTTGGCACCCAGATACTGTTACGCCAATTAGGCAAACAGCGGGACCAAATGCACCTGAAATTAATGAACAAATTAATTAAATAACAGGTATTTTCTACTCAATATAAATATGAAAAACTAATTATATAAAAAAATCTTGTATAGACTTTTGAACACATTGTTTGAAAATTATTTTTCAATTCATCTCAGATTTTCTTACTATGCTTTTAACCTTTTATAGTTAGATGTCCCTAGGGTTAGCAGATTTCTGTACCTATTCAATTGAAGGTATGGTATGTTTTTTGCGACGTATGATTAAAGCAAACATTAAAATAAAGGAACAGAAATGAGCATACATATGTTTCTCATCTCTCTTCTTTGATTATCTTATTTAAGTTTGTTTCCCTCCAGCCTGTATAGTTAAACTAAGTTTTCCTTATTGCAGCTTGTATATTTCCATCTTTTCTACAGTCATTTTGTCTCTACAAGCTAGAGTTTTTATCCAATTTAATAATACACTGCCCAATACAGTTAAAAGATATTGTAAGTCTTGTATGACGTAACGGTATAAGCAATTTCATTTGTTCCTTAAAATGGAAGAGAGTCACAAATGCAAATTTTTCCTATTTTCGAACTTAGTAGTTTGCAAATTGAGTTGGACTTCGAAGACGACGCTTTAGCTGCAACGAATTTGATTTGGCTTTTAACTTAAAGTAAGACTAAGCGGAAAAGAATGATCAACACACAGTAAGCGCGTTGTTTCGATGAGTGCGATGCATCAACGAAGTCGTTTAACCGAATCAGAAGCTTAAATAGTTGTTGGTCGGTCAGAGGAGGTCAAACACCACAAGCTGAAATAGCAAAGGTCTTTGGAGTTTCGCAAGGTTTGATTTCCAGTATCTGGAACCGCTTCTTGGAGACTGGAAATACAGGCCGAAGATTAGGGCAAGAGCGTAGACGTGCATCAACGCCCAATGAAGACCGTTATTTAACGCTAATGGCTCTGAGACATCTGAAAATGAATGCCACTTTTCTTCAACAACATCTTCACTCGGCTACTGGCTCCACAGATTCGACACAAACTGTCCGAAACCACCTTCGTGCTGTAGGTCTGTATGCTCGCCGACCAATGGTGTGTGTCACGTTAACACCAAGAAACCGTCGCTCCCGCAAGAAGATAGCAACAGAGCATGTGAGTTGGAGGAGAAATGAATAGCGCAATATTCTTTTCTCTGACGAGTTCATCCTGATATTAGGGGTATTTTCAAGTGGAAGGAACGAGGCACAGAAACAATTCTGCGTTCGTGCAGGAAAGTAAAAGATTTGATGGTGGGGGAGTGATGGTCTATTCTAACATCTTCAATAATGGATGCGCCAATCTCAACATCATTCGAAATGGAGCTCTGACCGGTCGCCGATATCAGGATAAGATCCTGACACTTATTGTAACCTCTTACAATGCAACAACTGGAAATGACTTCATGTTAATGGACGACAATTACAGGCCAGAATGTATTAACTTGGTGAATGACTTCCTTTTGGAGGAAGGAATCATACTAATAGATTGGCCAGCGAGTTCTCCGGACATGATTAATAGCTCCTCAATGATAGCTTCATTGAATCGACGCATCAAAGGTGTTTAACGTTACTGGCAATCCGGGAAAATCATACCCCAACTAAAAACGATTTTCTTTTAAGGAAACATCTTTTTCATTTGTTTTCCTCATACGCACAAATTGTGTTTTCTTCCTTTTTTTTACCCAAATGTTATGTAAAATGCAATTTTCTCCTCAAAACAAATGTCATTATTATCTGTTATAGCCTATTGCGTCTGTCGATATTGCACCAATTATTCTATTTTTTTCTGCAGGTGCAAGATCAACCTACAACATGAATATCCTTTAATTAATTTGAACTGTGCATATTCCGAATCAGGATTGTTTTTTAAAGCTCAGATATTAAGATATCTGATCTGACTCAGATGTTCAGATATTAAGCGTCCCACCTCTCTGCTACGTAGGGAGTGGCAGGAAAAAGATGATAATGCTATTCCGTTTATGCTGCGAAACTTTAAGATCGCATTTTTTTGTCCTATGGGTTATTTTGAAAGGATCAGACAAGTATGCATACATACAAACCTATACGTTCTGTACACACTTGTACATTCAAAAAATTAGCAAAAAATATGAATTAGAAAGAAAAAAATTTTAGCTTTACGAACGAAACTAAATTGAGCTTATAAATAGTCGCACACTAATTAGGTAACATCAATTACTTGTATAAATGTAACAAAAAATTTGTTTCCCAGGGAAATTGACTAAATGTGCTGTATACCTAAACAGCAGAATTTCTAAAAACCTTTATCACTACTTAACAATATTGTCCATCTGACCATTAATGAATATATTTGAATATTTCTATGAAGTGGTGGGCGCAATTCTTTTATTTTTAATTATTTTACCCATTTTTTTCAGTGTAGCAAGTCTGGCGAAACTAATTCAACAAATGTTACAAATCACTAGATATGTAAAACTAAATTGCCTATAAACATTTAACAACCACTATTCTTTAAACCAGCAGTTCCCAATTTTTTTGAGCGACGGAACACGCAACGGTTGAAATAAAGTCGACTAAGATAATAGTGAATGTTTTCACCAATAAAAGACTATATTTAATTAGAGAAATGAACATTTTTATCGCTTTACTATTAATAATCTTAAATTAGGTTTCATGTCTGACAGTTTGATTTGCAGTTCTTTTCCAATATCTACTCTGGTTTCGAAATAGTTTTCGGTGTATATGTTACCATGACTGATCGAAACCAAGTGAATATCGAATTTCACTTGTGAATGTCAACAAGCACATAGGCGCTTTGGTGAATGTCTAAAACATTTGTTATACCCGATTTGCTATTAATTTATTTGTTGACATTATTATATTTATTCGATATTTTGATATCTGCTGAGAATAGATTAGGATAAACATCAGTGTTTGGAGTACCGATTAAATGAATACTAAGCAGTGGCACTTGACCAAAAAAAACATTGATGTAAAGCATACCGGGTAAATGTATACCGGGCAGTGGCACTTAACTAAACCCATTATATATTTCAGACATTAACCAAAGCGAATATGTGATTGTCAACATTCACCGGTGGAAGTCAACAATCACCTATTTCGGTCATTCAAAGTAACATATTTATATATATACATAAATTGAAAATAATTTAAATAAGACGAATTTGTGGTATACTTCAGAAAAAAAACTCTGCTAAAAATGTACTAACTGCTAAAAATTTTGGAATGGTTATTAAAGAAGCATATTTCTTCATTCAAGAATTTTGATTTGAAAAGCGTGATAGGAAATACTACGGAAATATTTTATAAAAGCTTGTCCTTTTCACAATTTTTTCAATAAATTTGTATTAGAAATATTGTATTTTCTAATGAAAAAAATGCCATTTCTATTTCATTAGCATTTTTGTTTTGAATAATTTCATAGACGCAACCGAAGGTTTAAAGAAATTATAAATTGTAGGTTGTATCTTAATATCATCAGAGGTTTCAAAACTTGTCATGTCTTAAAAAGTGCTAGCTCGCGGATGATGCCTGAAAAAAAATTTCAATCGAAATTTGCTGTTCCAGAAAGGATTAAAAAATATTTATATTATAACTGACACCAACACAATTAATGTAATTTCCTTAAATAACAGAAATTCTATAATGGTAAGATGTTATGCATCTAAGCAAGGTACTTCTTCCTAATACAGGGTGAGCCAGTCAAACCTGCATTTTTGAAAATGGCGGGAGAGCCGTGAAAGTGGGCAGAGCGAGCCATTGTGTCCCCCACATCTAAGTAGTATTTCAGTCGCCATGGAGCGCAGTGATCTAAACAACAACGTTCGTTCGCTGATGTGAAAGCGTTTTACCAAAGTGGCAGTTATGCAGCCGTCGTTTCCGGACGAATTTTCAAGTGAATCGAAATTGGCCATTGCCTTCTGTTAATTCAATCAAATTATGGGTGAAAAACTTTGAAGCAATTGGTGAAACGAGAAGCAGAAGGGGTGGCAGTGCAAGAGAATTCCCCAGCGTATNTTAAAAAAAGAATAAGTGAACTCCTCCCCAAAACTAGCTATAACTGAAATGGTTTTACTACCAGCCTTTCCTCTTTTTCGTCTCGCTTTCACCCCTGTTCAGAAATCGCCTACAAGAATGTCTCGATCGGGTAGGACACCATCTCACTGGCGTTATTTTTAAACAGTAAATGTTGTTTCTTAGATTCTTTTTAATGTAGATTAAGATAGTAACAATAAAAGTTTGAAATATCCATCCGTTTATTTTTTACAGTCATTTCAAAAATGCAGGTTTGACTGGCTCAACCTGTATTAACCTTTCGCTAATGGCTGGTGCAACACGTGGACCGCGTTGAATGGTACAACATGGCACACCGTAAGCAAAGGGCATAAATTTATGAAATTCGGTTTGAATTTGGTTATAATTTGCAATATAGTTTTGCAATTCGGTTGTATGGTTAATTGATAAAATTGAGAAATTTCGAAATTACCTATAGAGTTGATTATTTTTCTGATAGCTGTTATAGATAACTTGTCAGACTTCCTTAGTTTGTCAGCCACGTAAGATGCTACCCAGGCTCCAACTGCTTGCAGAACAAAAGGAAGGGATGACAATACTCCATTCTTTGCAAAAACAGAAGAAGAATATATATCTTTGCAATATAAACAAGGCTGCCAACATATTACACATTATAGGAAAACTTCTTCTACTGGTCTTTGTTTTAATGTATTATTCTCTACTTTGTAAAATTGATTTAAAGTTATTTTGCTCACCAACTCCATTACTTGCAAATAAAACAAAAATTTAAATGATTTTTTTCCATCCTTTTTGTAGTAAAACTATTAAATTATTGGCAAAATAGCTAAACATTCTGAAAGCTTTAGCTGTTAACTGACTGTCTACTACATACCACACACACATAAATACAGGGTGTTTATAAAGTCCCAGACCCATTTCGATGTTTAATAACTCATAAAGTAATAAAGATAGATTAAAATTAATAACATAAATGGTTAGATAGACCCAAAAAGTTTCATGACCCTCGTCGATGAACTTTCACGTGTGGTGCCCCTTTCGTCACACGAAGAGTCGATAGTCAATTTCAGTATAGTTCAAAATGCAGAGAAAACAAGGGAAAAATTACAGAACAATGAAAAAAGGGGAAAAAAAAGAAAAATAATAATAGAAATGAATTCTTAATTTTCTTCGTATTTTTTTTATTTTATTTATTATGCTATATA